TAGTAGCTGGCATAGTGCTGTGTTTTGGATTTAGGATGAGAAGATTGTTGGTAACTGATGGTTTAGTTGTTGCTGAGCAGTGCCTATACCAGTCAGGGATTTTGCTCTGCCAGGGGCACCAAAAGCTGGGAGGGGGCACAGCCAGGACGGCTGACCCCAACTGCCCAACGGGGTATGCCATAGCATGTGACATCATGCTCAGTATGTAACAGTATGTAAACTGGTGGGAGTTGGCCAGGGGGCAGCAATCGCTGCTTGGGGCTGGGCTGGGCATCAGTCAGCTGGTGGTGAGTGGTCGCATCACTTATTTTTCCTAGGTTTTGTTTCTCTCTCTCTTTCTCTCTCTCTGTCTCATTGTTTTCCTTTTTGTTACAATTTGTTACTATTACAATTTTATTTCCATTATTACACTCTTTATCTCAACCCATGAGTTTTCTTACCTTGCTCTTCTGATTCTCTCCCCATCCCACTGGGGGAGGGCAGGAGGGTGAGTGGGCAGCTGTGTACAGCGTGGTTGCTGACCGGGGCTAAATCAGAACAGTAGTGCAAGTCAGTATTGGCTTGACCTTCTTGTTTCCATGCAGGCCCTCAGGCTCCCATTCAACTGTTGCTTCCTCAGTTTGAAATCAGAAGGTCTTGTTCTCAGTATAATATCAGCACTGTGCATCTCTCCCGTCAGTTTGGGCATGAGGTCTTCTGCAGCCCAGACAGTAGGTGCCACTCTTGCATAGCATGAGCTGGAATCTTGTGTGGAGAGATTCTTCTGGAAACATAACCTCCATCCTCTGCCAGGCTTTACGGAGTGCAGGGAATTGCTATGGGTTTTGTTTTCTTTTCCTGAAGGTGGGTAGATTAGCCAAATTTTTTCAGGTAGCTGAGACTCTGCAAAAGATACTAGAGGTTATAGAGTTGCATTAACGTCAGGCCAAATTTGTTAGCCTGCTTCTGGGATCTGAGCTGTTTTGCTTCAGACATGCTCAGGGGTTGATCTTTTGCCAGACTGCATGTATTGAGTGTACTCTGTCTTCTGGTATGTGGAAAAGGCTGCCAGTGTTTCTAACATTAGGGAGGGAGAGTTCAGTGTGTCTGTCCAGCTTCAGTCAGCTGTTATTTTGGCTTAAGTGTCCTAATGCAGGTGCCTGGCATAGAATACTTCAGTCTAAATAATGAACACTTTGCAGTTATAAGCAAAGCCACCGCCTTACGAAGTGAAATACTACCCGGAACAGAATGAGCAGTGTGTATAATTAAAAGCTGCCTTTGTTCTCCTCTTCTGTAGTTTTAGAGGCTGTTTTATTGGTGTTTCTTCCCTTTATCACCGGTGTCCTCATCTTTCGAAATAGGGGAACTAATGTTCTACCTGTTACAATCTCAGTGAAAACACACGGTAATATTAAGAGGGTCCATGGGTTTGTGTTCTCCCCACCCACCCATATTTGAGGTAAATGAGGTATAATACTATAAACATAATCACTAATGAACTTGAAGTAGTTAACTTGCATTTCTTCTGTTTGGACAGGCTTATGAGGACTCTTTTGATAAAAGTGCTGATGAAGAAACAGTTGAACAAAAGGAGGAGGTGCCCTGTGTGGACACGGACGGTGGCCCACCGGAGGAGTTGGTAAATGATGGCCAAAGATGTGCTGTGTCAGAGGACGCAAAGGCTACAGAAGATGTTGTCCAAGTGGATGAAGCAAAAAGTGAAGCGAAAAGGTGTGCTGGCTTGCAATATTGCAGTTACTGTGTCGTTCTGTGTCATGTCTGATGCTGTCAGACGAGTCAAGATTTAGTCACCGATGTGAACTGGGGGCTGCTCCACTAAATCAGAGTTGAATGAATATGATACTGAACAAGGAGTGTGAGGATCTACTCTGGGAATGGCGTGTGACTGCAGGTCCCTGCCACATCACTTAGCAGTAGCAGATTTATCATCTACCTGAATCATGAGACCAACAATTGATCACATAAATGAAATTGCTTCATGTTTTCTGCTGAAAGCACGTGGATTGTGTTGTGTGAAGGAAGAACAGGGGGAAGCAGCAGAGACATTGGTGACTGAAAACCATCAGAAGCTCTTAAATGCTGAGTGTTCCTGTGCACTGATCATGGTTTCTCTTTGTTTTTCAGCAGTACTAAGCCTAAAGGGAAAAAAGCCAAGGATGCAAAAAAGTCTGCTAAGGCATCTTCAGAGCAACCAACAACGGTATGTCAAATTACTTCTGCTACTTAAAAGCTGGTGGTCATGTTATTACAAACAAGGGTGGGTGGTTGATCACCTCCAGTCCACAAATTCTGTTTCACTTTTTTGCTTATTTTTTAATAATGCAGGTGTTTTTATCCCTGTCATTTTTCTTAGAAGCTAGGAGGCAGCTCTTGTCCTCACAGAGAAGAGTAGGACTAAATTTCAGTTCTAGGGGAGCTGCTAAAGCTCTGTATCCAAGGCAGTTCAAGCCAAACAAATTAAGAGCTACTGTCATCAGGCAGGTGACAGGCACCTTTCCCAATATTGATGCTTCCCAGAAGGAGCAAAATCTTGTGATAACTACAGCTAAGACACATTCAGAGCCCAAAGTGGTAAATGTATAGTCTTTTTTAGTCAGGTGAGATCAAAAGTATTCTTTATCTTGAATTAGATTTGCAAGGCTTCTATTTATGTTCTTAGTTCTACTTCGTATTTCATTTTTTAATATATGTATTTAATTGTTATAAGCAATGGAATATGTGTGATGAAAGAAACAGCTTAGGCAATGAAATGTGAGTAAGAGAAACTGCATACAACAAATGAGTGTATTACATTTATTACATTGTCCATATGAATGTGAAGCATTTTGGTTTTTCCCTCATTATAGAATGAAGTTCCCATCCACTGTGTAACCTGCAACTGTGCTTTTCCATCTCGAAATAAACTGTTTGAACACCTAAAAGCCACAGGACATGCAAAAGCAACACAAGCACCAGCTGTAAACGGAGCTGTAAACACCAGAAACAAAAAAGAGAAACGTAAAAACAGATAAAACTTTTGTTACAGTGACAGTCCTCAGAATTTTATGTGAAAACTCCCAAAACTGGAAGGTGGACACTGTGCCCCTGTTTGGTGTTAAACAGAGAAGGCAAGTCCTGATTCTGGAAAAATAGAAACATGCAACAAAAGGAGCATTATCTTGTGAAGGAACCTGCGCTTTCTTTTGGTTTTATCAGCCTCTCTTTAATGGTGGGATGTAACCTACCATCTCTGCACCTTCCACAGTGGGAGTGGGGATATA